AACACCCAGATTGTGCTTCCAAGACAAAGTGAGTGGAAAGGCAACGTTCGAGATGGGTGATCCAACGCCTTGAGTGGTTCTCTTCCATTCAATTTTAAGCTCTTATTTCATTCTTAAAACTTGTTGGCGGTGTATTCTCTCGACGGTGCATAGTAAGTGCGAGTTGTGTGAAGAGTCAAGGGATGAATTTTGGTCAATTTCTCTTGTGCTATCAAGAGAATGAGCATTTGAATTGTTGCAAGTTTCGGGAGAATAGAAATAAAATCTATGCATTTCTTCTAATCTTCACAGTTGAATTTGTGGTGTGGCGTGACTTCGTGTTTTTTCCTGTTCTCGTATTTTTTCACATTAAATCTCGTGTGTGTTTTGGATATCTTGTTTATGCGATTCATTTCATTGTTCTGATCTAGATTTTTCAAATCGTTGTATTTTCCTTGGTGTGATTTGGTTGTTAATTGATAAAATCTGGCTTTTATGTCCCAAACAAGTGGTATTAGCGAGGTTTTCTGAAGAGTTTTTATTCAAGTGGGAGCATTGACTGACGAAGTGAGTTACAAGGTGGAGAAATTCAACGGTTCGAATTTTGTACTATGAAGAATGCAAGTTGAAGATATGCTGGAGTGTTCATACAGAGTTTGAGGATGTGGTACCATGATATATGTTTTTATAAGTCTTAAGGGGAGCATCAGTAGGGCTGACATTGGTATCCGCCATTGGAAGGAATCACCAACAAGCATGAATCGATGGTACTCAAAGAATGGGAAGTGCTTGAGCAAAAATCCTAGGTTTTATCTGTCTTTCACTTTTCTCGTTTGGTACTTTCAACATAGTGAATTAAAAAACAATGGTGAATCTCACGATGACGTTGACAAAGATGCATGAGAAAACCTTCAATATCAAATAAAATTTTTTTGATGAAGAGATTAGAGGGTTGTGCGGTGGTTGAACTCTTGAATAATTTAAACACTATGACGAACATATGTGTTCTATATGCATCAAATTCAATGACAAGACTAAAACACTATTAGTTTTATCTTTTTTGCAAGACAATTGTTATGTACTGGTCACGAAGAAGAATAACTTTTCAAAAAATGCAAAGTTAATTTTTTATGACATCGTGGGGTTAATATTAAATGAAGTTCACAACATGGCGAGCGGTGAATTTTCAAATTCTGCGTTGAATGTTGAGAATTGAGGATGAAATCTTGATAGGATGTTAGGCATAAATAAATTTAAGTCCAAAATTTGAAAGTTCAGGTTTTGAAGAGGAAATGACAGGAGAATGTTGGAACTGCGAGAATACAAGTCATTTCAATAAAGACTACAAAGTTTTGAAGAAAACTGGTGTTGGAGGCCAATATAGGAATTTCTCTACAAATGTCTTCACATGCAAAATCTAAGATGACTCCCTGGTTTATCTTTAGTTAATATTGAATGTTGGATAGTAGTTTCAGGCGCTTCTTTTCATATATGCCCCAAAAAAGTGGTGTTTAAAAACTACACTCACAGTGATTTAAGGAAGGTGTATTAGGAAGATAGCATCGGTTGCAATATTATAGGAAAATTTGATGTTGATATTAGATTTTCAAATAGAACAGTGTAGGAAATTAGTGAATTTAGATATGTTCCAAGTTTGAAAAGAAATTTGATCTCAGTGGGCCAGCTTGTAAGTTCAGAATACATGACTATTTTCATAGGTGATTCATAAAAGGTGATTAGGGGGGCAATGATGATGGCTCAGGGCAATATTGAAGGCTCAGTTTATCTAATCAATAAGATAACACAATTCATTAATGTGATTGGAACAAAGGTTGATGCAAGTCTTTGACACCGTTGGTTTGGCTATATTAGTGAGAAATTTATGAAACCCTTACTTTCTAAAAATAAGTTTTAGGGTTTAAAATCTTAGATATAGATTTTCATGAAGTTCGTGTATCTAACAAATAAAAAGAAAGCTTTTTTTTTCCAAAAGTTGGTCAATGGTGAAGTTTAAGAAGCTGGAGAGTGCATACTGATGTATGAGGTCTTATTCCAGTTCAGTCCATTGTAGGATCTCACTATTTTGTCATTTTTATAAATGATCACTCCTGAAAGATATGAGTTTACTTCTTAGTGCATAAATCTGATATATTTGAAGTATTTAGAAAGTGGAAGTCCGTGATAGAGAATGAGATTGACTTGAAGGCTTACAAGGTCAAGGTACATGATTATTTTCATAGCTGATTCGTGGAAGGTGGCCAGGGGACAATGTTGATTGCTCGGGACAACATTGAAGCCAATCTTAACCTGGTTAATGAGATGACAAAATTTATTGATGTGGCTAGAACAAAAGGTCTTTGACAAAACATGTTTGGCCATATAAATAAGAAAGGAATGAAGACTTTGTTTCTTAAAAATAAGTTTCATGATTTAAAATCTAGATATGTAGATTTTTGTGAAGTATTTGTATATGACAATCAAAAGAAAGTTTGTTTCTTGAAAAGTAGGTCAATGTCGATGCCCAATAAGTTGGAGTTAGTGCATACTCATGTATGTGATTCTACTCCAATTCATTTTATTAGAGGTTCTCACAATTTTGTCACTTTTGTAGGCGATCACACTGAAAAATGAGAAATGATTAAGATGTCCATGATAGAGAATGAAAAAATCTTAAAATTGAAGCGTCTTAGATCGGATAATAATGACGAGTAATGTGACCAGATGTTCAAGAATTATTATGCATCAGAAGGGATCAAACATGAGATTATTGTTCCAAGGGCATCACAATAGAATAATGTGGCTGAGCGCATCAATAGAACTATCACAGAGCATGCCAGAAGTATGAGGTTGTATCCAGGCTTGCTAAAGTAGTTTTAGGAAAAAGCAATGAACACTACAACTTATCTGATAAATTATGATTTGTCCGTATCTTTGAATGAATGCTTGCTTGAAGAACCTGGAGTGATAAAAAGATAAAATCTTTTCACTTGAAGGTATTTAATTGTTCAACATACGTTCATGTTCATGCTGTCAACTTATGCAGATTAATAAATTATGTGCATTTTTATTGGATATGTCTCAGATAAATTTTGATATAAATTCTGGGATTATTAGAATCAATAGTTCATTAGTAGTGATGTGACTTTCAATGAAATGGAAATGCACAAAGAGAGGAGCAAAACTTAGAATTGCTCGTCAGCTCTTTTGAAAAGTCATCCAAATATGTTGAGATAAAAGGTAATGGTGATTATGAAGATGGAGAAAGAAGATGCGGTCAATCTGATGAAGCACAGAAAGTTCTTCAGACATGTGCTAATGAAGTTAGTAGGTCTAGCAAAATCATGAGACCGATACAGAAGCATCCTTCTTTGTACTATTTTTTGCTAACTGATAGTGTTGAACTAGAGTGTTATGAAAATGCTACTCAAGTTAAAAATTTAATGGAGTAGGAGTTTGTTATGGATCACGAGATGCAGCCATTGAAGTGAATCAAACTTGAGATTTGATGGGATTACCATTGGCAAATGGGCACTACATAACAAGTGGGTCGGCAAGCTAAAAAAAAAGTCAGATGGTAGTGGACGCTACAACGGAGTGCTTATTGTGAAGGAGGTTTAACAGAAGAAAGAAGTGGACTACACTGATATATTTTTTCTTGTAATGAAGATGATAATTGTCAGAGCTGTTATGAGCTTGGTATTAGAGGAAGGTCTGCAGCTTGAGCATATGGATTTAATGACAGTCTTCATACATAGTGATTTGGAAGAACTGTATGCAGTGCAACTATAGAGTTTTGTGATATCAAGGAAAGAAAATAGTTTGTAGATTAATGAAGAGCCTTTGTGGTTTGAAGCCATCATCGAAATAATGGTATAGGATGTTTGACACACTCGAGTTAGATAATTGGTATATGAAGTGCAAAACAAACCACTGCTGCATTATCAAAATTTTTGGCAATTGTTATATATATATAGCAATTGCCAAAAGTTTTGATAATGCTGCAGTGGTTTGTTTTGCACTTCATATATATATATATATATATATATATATATATTTGTATGCGTATGATATGTTGATTGTAAGAACAATTATTGAGAATATCAGAAACTTGAAGGAGCAATTATTGAAGGAGTCTGAGATGAATGAGTGAGGTTCAACCACGAAAATCCTTAGTATGAGAATCATCAAGTACATGAGTGCAGATGTAATGACTTTGTCTCAACTAGAGTATGTTGAGAATGTCTTACAATGGTTCAACATGTGTAACTCAAAACCAATGTGCATCCCAACATGTCATGTAAATTGTGTGCGGTGTGATTTTGGTTGTGAATTGATCGAATTTGGTTTTTACTTCCTCAACATGTACCGTAAATTGGATTAAACTTATGAGTTTACAATGCTCAACATGACAAGTCACTAGATGTTTTAATCTCCCTTGTCAACATGACAAGTCACTAGATGTTTTAATCTCCCTTTTGTTACATTTTGCAACTTCATGTGAAATTAATCTTTCATCAAAGTAAATATATCCAAGTTAGCTGACCAATATTTGATTGTTTTTTGCTGCTTTTGAACTGTTATTTATAGATGTTGTTCTCAACACCTTGCAGATCTATAAGTTAGTGTGATCAGTTTGAGATAGCACTCTGCTATGTATTTTTTAAGATTAATGACCAACTTATTTGGAAAAGTAGCGCTTGTGGTTTAGCATGCCTAATATTGTAACGTGCCATTGTTTTGTATTTCTGTGTTGAAGTTTGAGTATGTATCAATATCATGTATGTCTAGCCGTGCACGAAAAGTTCTGTGCAAATGCATAGCATTGCAATGATATTGAACATAATACCTATAGAAATAACTCAACTAATTCTTAACCTATATGGTTGTAATATGGATGATATTCATTATGTATACATGTTGAATTTTGTTTGTTTTTAGTGTTGAGAACCGCATGGTTAATTTTATGATTAAATGAGCTTGATCCATGAATTTGGCTTGGAATATATGGTTCAACTTTCTAGGTGACCAAACACTTAAGGTACAGTGGTGTCTCTGTCCCACCTGTTTATGAAGGATCTTTTAAGAAGGCAGTTTGGGCATTTCAGCATCAGAGAGTATATAATCCTGAAAAGGAATGCATAATGCATCTATCAGATGTCCCTCAGGACATAGGAGAAGACCTGGACTTTTTGGGGCCATATCCTTGATAAAATAATTTATTTATTTATTTGTCTAATTCAATGCCCTTATGCCCTTTTCTTAACTAATCACACTTGGTTGCCTCCAGATGTCGTGAAAGGTATAGCGAAAGGAGATCTTGATCCATTGACAAAAGGACCATTCCAGGTTCGTAATAAGATTTTATAAGCTGGAAAATTGGTCTCCATATCATTTTCAATTTATTGCTTTCTGCTATTCTGCAAATTTTTATATCCCAATTTAAGTTGTTAGTTATTTCTCCTACATGAAAACTGAGATTTATGGAAGATTCTCATGGAAAGATCCTTGTTCATGGAGTGAACTCTAATCATGCATTGGTAATAAATTTTCATGTTTGTATAAGACGATTGAGTGAATACTTTGGGATATACATGTTTAATGAGCGTTTACAAGAGGGCTGATATACTTATTGTGCATATGCTAAATCCACTGACTTGGGAAATGAATGATCTTTTTTTATTAGCTAGAGTAAGAAGAAGACTGTTGATTACGTCCACTATGGCTCTTATGAAAAAGACAAATAGAGAGAACATTGATCAATTGTATGCTGATATTCACCAGGATGTTAGAACAATTTGAACTTTCACAACATAAAAAACATATGAAGCTTCATAATACAACATTTGAAATTAAAAATCTTGCTTTTTTTTCACCACACAATCTTTACGTGATTTTCTGTTACCCCATTTCTTCAGTTTTCTATAATGGCTAGTTCTATGAATGGAAAATGCCATTGGCGCCCTCACTCTTCTCCTATTTATTTATATAGGTTGCTTCTTTCATGATTGAAATAAACAACCTAATATAAATAATCTTAATTTATTAGAATTAAATGAAAATATGACACTCAATAGGATACATTCGAGAAAAAAGATTCATATAACCGACCCCACTTAGTGGTATAAAGGCTCGTTGTGGAATATAGCCGACCCCACTTGTAGGTTGCTTCTTTAATACAGTTAGCACGCGTGATGATTGGACGTTGTGTTTAGTTCCCTCATGTCCTTTGACAAACAATTAGTAGTCAGGGTCTTCATTTATTTGATGACAAGCAATTGGGGTTATAACTTACTCTCTCTAATTTATTTGTATTACTTTTTTACTTTTTTAGTAATTATCTATTTATTTGGACTGACTTTAAATATAAACACTTATGAACAAGAATAGAGCTTGTTGGAGCAAGCTATTGCTGATAGCCGGAAGTCTCTTGCCAGAAAAATAAGATTTGAGAAATTTTTTTGGTAGAAAATATAGCTTTTGAAAAGCTTCTTTGCCTGTTGACTCTTTCAGTACTGAAATGACGAACACATCCTGAGAATAATTTGAAGCCAGAGTTGCAAGAAACCAGGGTAGTGGTTTTATATTAGAGAACAGATAACTGTGTGGACTTGCAATTCTCAGCCTTCATTATGTTTTCTTTATCTTTTTTTTTTAATAGCAAGTGCTTTACAATTGAATTTTTCTGTATATATTACAATTCGTTATTTTGTGATATACTTTATTTGATGATCACTTGTGCAAATACTATCTTTCGCAATTATACCCTTTTTTTCATCTTAACAGGTGGAAACAGAAAGCTCAACGTTGGCTGCTGATAAGGCATTCCCGATGAAAAATTCTGAGACGATAGACAGAATAAAAAAACTAGAGCTACCCGTACAGAAAAATATTTTGACTAATTATTTCTGTATCCTTTTTATTACTTTTCAAGTTAACTCAGTTTTAGAGAAGATACCTGCTTATGTTTAATTTGTAAGATAGGCTAATCTACCAATTTATTCAGAGGTCTAAAGTTTTTTCCCCCCTCAAGCCTGCTTCTTTTATGCAGTGATTCATACTTTGTTAAGCGTATTTTTTTTTTATGTGCTGCTATTATTATTATTATCATTGAAGTGTATTACGTCAGCTTTACATCTTCAGATATCATTTTTATGCCTAAATTTTCGGATTTCCTTAACGCTATGAAGGCTTGGCTTCTATTCAAGCTAAGCGGAAATTCATGGCCCCAAAATTTACTCCCAAGCTCCTAATGGAACCTTCTTCTCCAAGATCTAGTAGTCCTGATTCTGATTCTCGGGGTTCAGATGAAGCGCCTCTTTTTTCTGCAACAGGCCAATCTCAGGACTCCCAGCATAAGTCAGGATGCTCAAATAATAAACTTCCAGTAATTACTTCTGTTAGTGATTTAGATACTTCTTCTCCATGTTTGAATTTAAATTGTTCTCTTCAATTATAATTGTTTCCCACCTTTTTTTTTGCTTTAGGTGGAGGATGGATTGCCCAATAAATGCAATAGCTTTTTGGGATTACCATTGAATGGTAAATATTTTTCATAGAGTAAAATGCCGAAGTAGTCCACTATATTGGGTCATTTTAGATCTGGGGCTATAAAAGTGTCAAATTAATCCACAAACTCTTTAAATTACGGCTGAAGTAATCCTTCATAGGGGATTATTTCAGCCCACATTAAAAGAGTCCGTGGACTAAATTGACAATTATTTAAACTCTACGGCTAAAATGACCAAATACGCAAGGCAGGGGACTATGTTGGCTGAGGATACCTGGAAGAACTGCGGACTTATGTTTTTCAAATCTGTTGCAGGAAGATCTGTTAATAAAAGATGCCCCAGTCCATTTCTAGAATCGTATCAAGCTGCTGTCAACCCAAAATCACATGAAGTTCATGAAACGGAGCTAAAACACACCACTCTAGAAATAAAATCAATGAATAGAAATTTAAGAACGAGCCGTTTTTTCAGTAATAACTCATTACTTGAAGTTGCTTCTAGGGAGCAAATTAAAGTTTCATCTAAGAACAAAGAAGATGGCACTACTGTTGTTTTGCATGATCCTATGGTATCTTTGGGTGAACCAATTCAGAATTTTCAGGAAACTTCAAAAAAGAAAAGAAAGACAATTCATCTTTTCGACAAAAATGAGGTAGTTTTTGCAATTGTCCTTTCTGTTATCATTTTATTTTGTTTTACTTCTATGAGAACCAATGCATTGCATATTTTATATGTAGCGGGAAACTCTTCCACCTGGAACTGTAAAGTCAAATCCAGTCCTTGCGGATGAAGGTATGACATAATCTATCTCTCTATACCATTATGTTTATTATTTACTTCGACATCACTAAAAATACATTTAGTGCTTCCAATATGCTGGCCTGGATTGGATTGGCTACATGTTGATGGCTATTTGTAGAAAATCATTTTAGTTCATGAGGTTTCCTTGAAGTTTCTCTGCCTTAAAGTTTTGGGAAAAATGGGTCGGTATGATGGATAGGGAAAGGGACAATAGAGAAAGGAGAGCTGTTGAGCAACCATTCTTTTATTTATTTAATTAGGTGTAAGATGATCTGAGATAATACTAAAAGAATTTTTTTGATGAAGGTTATAGCGTATTGTCTAAATCATCAATATAAACCATACCATTGACCTTTTGGCCGTTGTGCAGGAAATAAAGCATGATGTTTCATAAAGTAAGCCCGAAGTATAAAATAATCATTTGTTACTCTTAATCATTTAGCTCTCTTATATTATGCCATCTGTTCATCAAATTGCACTAAGGTATTAGGAAACTTTGACATGCTATCAAATTGGATAGGATTGGCTCCAGCTCTGATGTTCTTTAACGTTGTCTTTTAGTTAGGTTAAAATTCTGGAGAACAAGAGAAATCAAATTCTATATGCACCAGAATGAATTACTGCTTGTGGATTATTTTTATCTACGCAACAATTTGGCCTAGAATTTGAAAGACTGCGCAAGAATTGGGTTGACTTTTTATTTGGATGCAGTCAAAGTGAACTCAATGAGTCAAATTGTGAGCTAAGCTTGGTTTGGATGGCACTTGATATGAGTTAAGCTTGAATTGAATAGATCTAGCTCGTGACAACATCGAATCTAGCATATATAATATACAAATATATTTCATTATGCACTTATATTTTACGTAATGCATATATGCATTTTTTCGTTTATATATATGAATCTATACTTTTTTAAGTGATGCATGTGTGCGTTTATTAAAAGGTTTGAATGCTGTAGATATTTCGGGTCTATTGTTCAAAGTGACGATGATATAAATGTGGATGTTATTAGTAGAATTCCAGTTGCTTGGTTGAAGTGGAAGAATGCTTCGAGCTTATTGTGTGATAAAAAAGTACCGTTTCGACTGAAAGGAAATTTTTTTAAGATAGGGGTTCGACCTGCAATGCTCTATGGCACAGGTTGTTGGCCTTTGAAAGAGAGATGCTCTATGGCACAGGTTGTTGGCCTTTGAAAGAGGCATAAATTTAAGTTAAGTGTTGCCGAGATGAGAATGCTTAGGTGGATGAGTGGCTTTACACTTAGAGACAAAAATGTGAAATAAATATATCTGTGATAAGGTTGGTGTATCTCATGTGACAGACAAAATTAGAGAGAGTCGTCTTAGATATCTTGGTCACATTAAATATCGACCATCTGATGATCCGGTTAGGAGAGTAGATGCAGAGGTAGACCTAGAAAGAGTTGTGCATATTATATAAAAAATGGTCTTAATTTATTAAGAATTAGAGGAAAATATGACATTCAATGTGATGCAATGGAGAAAAATGATTAATGTGGCCGACCCCACTTGGTGGGATAAAGGCTTGTTGTTGTTGCTGAATGTTTACTGGACTTGTCAAGTGATGCATTGGATTGGTTTTTTATTTGGATGAAGAACCTTATGAAATTGAAATTTTTTACCTTATGAAATTGAAAATTTTTTTAAATCAGATTAAATTTTGACTCAATTCAAGTTTTGATCAAATTTAATGGCCCATGTCTAGTTCATAGGTCAAGTAGAGCTAGCCAATCACCATATGTGGGATTTGAAAATTCCTATTTTTTTCTATTGATAATGTTCAAGTTCTCTCAGCTTTTTTTTTAAAAACAAAAGGCAAGTTGGATATCAAACAAGGCAATGCTGAGAAATTTTACTCTGAAGGATTTTGTGACCTGGTTCAATTTTTCATATATGCTTAATGACTTTCTTTTATTAGTTAAATAACAACGATATTTTTTTTTTTTTTTTGAGAAAGCTAAAAAACTAATATATTAAATAGAAAGTAGGATACGGATAAATTGTATGGGAGAGCTCAAACATGACACCCTGCCCACACGATAATCACCACATCAAATGGTTCCAAAATGAGAAAATACAGTAAAATACATGAGAGACCTAAAGAAAAAACCAAAAAATGCCAAAATACATAGTATCAGGTAGCTGGAGAGTAACACAAACCTAAAGAAAAAACCAAAAAGTGCCAAAATACGTAGTATCAGGTAGCTGGAGAGTAACGCATTTTTGTCATGCTTCTACCTCTAGTTCTAGGGAAGGAGCCAGGTAATAAATTAGTAAGATGGGTGTCATTGACAGTAGTAACCAATGTATCATCCAATAAATTTCAGAGCTCAAGTCGGCCTCCGTTCTTCTTCTTTCTCCTGGAATAGATGTGTCATTTCTCATTTGAAGATTGACTCACCTGATCATTGAAATGGTCTAAAGTGTGTCAGACATGTGTAGGTTGTTGAACATTAAAAACAACTATTTGTTGTACCAGCTAATCTTTTATCAGATCGAAGTAGCACTCTCGTGTGTCTTGACGTCTATGTGGGTAATCGAGCTGAGTTGAGGGAAAGGTTGTTCCAGCTCTATCTTGAAGTTATTCTGAAAATTTGGAAGGCTGTATATGGACGGTTATTGTTTTACTATTATAGCCGGGCAATGGAGATTAGGCGGTTTTACTTGGGAACAGGGGTCGAATGACTTAGGCGATAGAAAAAATGCAACAATTTGATGGTGATTATCAGATGGCATAAGCGGCCGGGTGGTGGCAATTTGAGGGCTGCAACTGGTTAATTGTGTTTAAGTAGGTGATGTTGTTGATGGTAATCATGCAATGGCGACAGTTTACGTTAACTAGCTGATATTTTGGAGTGGAGTTCAGGCTATGTGTATGGATTTGTAAAATTGGTAGTTTTTTGGGAGGCCGACGTCTTGTCCTGATGGAGGGAAAATCTAGCCTTTTTGTGAGGGGGTCCCATACGGGAGAGTTCTCAATTTGGACATCTTCAATTAAAGGTTGATATTTGTTTGGATAAACCTTCTCATATTATATTTGTGCTGGTTTTCAAGCTTTTTTTTAGGAAGCGAAGGATCTTCTTCTTTGACTCCTCTATCACATGTAAATTGTCTTCTAAGAAAGAACCCAATGTGTCTTTACCAATTGGGTTATGCCAATCAAGGTGGAAAGGAGCGGTGTTTTTTTTTTCCTTGGTAGAGATTGTTCCCTGAAATGGTAGTTCTCAGAACATTGGGCTCTATTATTAGAGTATTATACTTGTCGGCCATCAGATGATTACTCAGTTTCGCGAAGGATGGTTTCTCATTGATGGCATTAAACTAATCTGGGTTCATAAATTTTAGAGGTAAAAAAAAAAGTCTTAGCTCAATAAAAAATTATCATGACAAACACATTGATATGAGTGATAACTATGATAAAATTTATGTGAAAAACTCAAAGGGGGACCCAGACAAATTATTCTTTTATATAATTAGAGTTATAAAGTTTCATTCTTTTGTTTTTAAAACTTGAGAAGACATGTTCACAATACTTTTTTATCCCTCTGTTATTATAATAATAAGGATTGTTGGATGACAATAATAACTAAAAGATAATGATTAGGCAACAACATTTTAAAGATAGTGATAATGCAATATGAGCTTGGAGATAATAGTTAGACAATAATAATTATATGATTGTGCAGGCTCCAAAAATTTTGACCCCTCCCTATGAGCTCTCTGCATTATTTTATAGTTTTGTTTTGAGAGAGAGAGCTTTGCAGGGTCAAATTTTCAGAAGACATATTGAATTGTAAATAAGACACTACACAAAGATTTCACCCTCATTTTGCGATGACTTTTTAATCTAGGGTTTGATGTTTCTTATAAGCGCAATTCCCATGGTTAATTACCCCTCCAGATAATGTGAGAACATTTTTTGATTAAGGCTAGTCATTAAAAATTAATTATATAACATATAATAGCAATATACATATAATATTCTAAATTATAAAGTACATCACTTGGAGTTTAAGGCAGATGATTGGGGAATGAAAACGAAAGTCGATCAGGATCTTATGGTTTCGTCGTCTCTGGTCATCGTGGTCCTTGATCTACTTAGAGGAGGTAGTCGACCCAATTTGATAGAAGAATCAATGTCAACAACCATGACTTGCGTCATCCAAGTTATTATTGCAGATCTAGGATGAATATTGGTCTAAAGAGATAAATTTAAGCCGATCTTAGCTGAGAGAAGGGTTTATGACATTTAATTGTACTCTTATAATTCACAACTCAAAATGTTAAAAATCATTGTTGAACATACGGGTTGCGGTCGTAATCGAACTATAATGATATCATTTGGTGCTAATCACCGGGTCAGAGGACTCTTATCTTAACCGCTATTTTTTTGTGTGTAATTTGACGATAGAAACACACAGACAGAGTATTCAGGCCACGTCTTTATTGGTACACAATTAATTTGATTGTTAATATATTGATACATTTGATATGACATTCGCTCTTCGTGAGCTGAAGTCGATACAAACTGTCATCCTCGATAAACTATTGCAAAGGGTGGATGTAAATTTTTTTAGTTTTTAGTGATTTATTTTTAATATAAATATTTAGTTTATCTTTAGGATTTAAATATTTATCTCAAACTATTGGACTCATCAACTCAATTCATTATGAGAAGGGGGATCAGTTTTTAGTGATTTATTTTTAATATAAATATTTAGTTGGTTTCTTTAAAAATCTTTATTTAAAAGATTGACCACTCTGATTGAAATTTTAGATCAACAGGTTCATCATCAGCGTAGTCAACATTTAAAAGCTTTTATATTTAAATAGGGGGGGCATTTAATTTTGTTAGTTTAAGCTTTTCAAAGTATAAGACCTATCGACTTCTATCTTTATAGGTATGTGGATTAGATTAGGTCATTTGGACTTTTAAATTTTTATCTTTAGGATTTAAATATTTATCTC